AAGAAACTTGCAGCTGTCCACTCAATCTATATTTTTTTTATATTAAAGAATGAACTGTTAAATGAAGAAAACATTTTTCTGAGTGGCTCACTGAATGTAAGATAAAATGGAGTCAAACATTAAGAAGAAAAAAGGTGGCGAGCCCCGTTAAAAACCTTTTTATGTTTTAATTCTTTACTGGCGCAAAAATCCACGATGAATATAAAAATGAATGCCATGCAATTACTTAAAATCCAATAGCAATTGCATAAGAATGAATAGTCCAAAACAGTAATTGCAAATAAAATTTATCTTTGGCTACAAATCCCAAAACATGCATAAAATAGTCATGCAAAATGAAAATATTATAGAATGAACCAATGCTAAGTTAAAAAAAAAAAGGTTATTTTGCTTTAACCATCACCTTTAAGGGCTCCGGCGCGGGTGGTCCTGCCATGAGAACACTCCTTCAAACTTCCCTGACAGATGTGAAACAGCTGCTTCGCCAGTCACATGTCTGCCTGCCTTTTTATTTGCCAGCCCATCATTCTCTGCAGATCTTCGCTCTTTGTTGTCGTCTTCATTTTGCTGCTTCCTCTAAGGTTTTTTCTGTGTGTGTGCAGCTCAGCTTCTGGTCCTTAGTTCTTTCAGCCTGTGTGTGTTAATGCTGCTCACGGTGCTTCTCACAGGAGGAGGAGAGAAAGCTGAAGAAAGACCAGCCCCTCTCATTCAAGTGGCCTGTGTCTAGAAGCTCCCTTGCTTCTTCACGTCATTTTCTTTTCCGACTTTATCACCCTCTTTTATCTGCCGTACGAACAAAAACTCCTGGCACAGAGCAGCTGGGGGGACGCTGAAACATGATGTGTGACATATATCATAGCGGCTTTTGTAAAACTCAAATTTGTCTGGACTTTCAAGAAAGAAATGCATACAGAGCATAGAGTAAATTACTTCATAATTATAGGCCGGTCTCCTTTTATAGGAAAAACAATCTTATCTTGAGATGTTAAATAATTGTAGCTGTTTTGACCAAACCATAAAAAATTGTGCACAATTTCATGCATTGTTGTGAGATGTCATGCTTAGGGTATGTGTTCGGAATGACTCTCAGCTACTACCACAT